ACTATGGTACGATGCCCTGGAGGAAGTCCAGTATCAACGGCAGCAGCGCCTTCCTGGTGTCGCATACCAGTTGGAGGAACAAATGGCCTGGCGGATGCCGCTTCTGGGAGACCAACCCGGAGGGCAGCAGGTCAGACAACTTGAGTACCTTGTGGAAAGGGAACTGAGCCTTGACGCCTCATACCGGGCACTGTGGTGGTGCACTGTCCAGCCAGAGACGTAGAGGGCATCCAGCCGGAGGGGGAGAACTACACTAGCCCTGGCCTGTTGTGGAAGGCCTTAGCAGAAGATGTCGACTTTGGCAGTCCAGCAGAGTCACGGTACTGGGCTATCTTTTATTACCGGGGTGAGATGGTACAGGGCCCGAGATCTATGGGACTGGGACAAGACCTCCACCGTTTGGCTGCCATGGAACGACAGCTAGAGATGGACTATGTGGAACTACTAAACTCATGTAAGCCACAGGGCATGGACACAGAACAGGAAAACTGGCTGGCGGACCCAGACCTGCCAACCTACAGCTGGGAAAACGCAGCCGAGGTACCCCCTGCTTCACTACCAGCTGCAGAAGTAGGGGACCTCATGGACTGGTCCTGGAGAGACCCACAGATGGCAGGTGGAGATGGGACTGAGATCTCTCTACCGGCCCTACAGGGATGCTGGGCAGTCGGCCCAGATCCACAGCGGCAGTGTGTTTCCCAGGGAGCAGAAGGTGTCATCCTTCCTCCCCAGCGGCAGTGTGTACCCCAGGGAGCAGAAGGTGCCGTCCTTCCTCCCCAGCGGCAGTGTGTACCCCAGGAAGCAGAGACCGGTTGTCTTGCACCCCAGCTGCAGGACAAAATATTGAAAGGGGAGACAGTTGGTCCCCCTCTCCACCAGCAAAGAGAGTGTAAGGGAGAGGAGCAGGTTACCCCCTCTCCCCAGCAGCAGTCTACAATTCAGAGAGAGGAGCTTGTTACACCCTCTCTCCAGCGGCAGCCTAACCCACCAAGGGGAGATGGTAAGCCCCTCACCAGCGCAGATGGGACCATGGTCTCTGCGCCCAAGCTACAGGGAGTATGGAGGGACAGCCCTGCTCCCCAGCGGCTGGAAGTGTGTAAGGGAGAGGAGTTTGTTACTTCCTCTCCCCAGCGGCAGTCTACGATTCAGGGAGAGGAGCTTGTTACCCCCTCTCCCCAGCAGCAGTCTACGATTCAGGGAGAGGAGCTTGTTACCCCCTCTCCCCAGCGGCAGCCTAACTCACCAAGGGGGGATGTGAAGCCCCACAACTATGCAGATGGGACCGTCGTCTCTGCACTTGCAGCACCAGGGGTAGGGACGGTCGGTCCTGTCCCCCAGCCACAGAGCAGTGTATCCAGAGGGGAGAAAGTCGGTCTCCCTCTCCCACAACCAGGCTCCAACCAGGCTACTTCAGTGGTAGCGCTGGCACCCGGGCAGAGTACCACTGGTCTCTGCTCACTCAGCAACCCACCAAGGCAGTCTACCAGCCCCCCCGCACAGCCGTGGTGAGGCACCTGGACATAGACAAGTTGCTATTTTATCCAGGTGTAGTAACCAGTTATTGTGGGTGGGCTGTATTGCTGTTTGTGCTTCGTGGGTGGGTTGCTGGACTAACCAGGGCACTGACCGGCAGGAGGTCAGATACCCTGTTAGTCTGGATGGTAAAGGGGAGAAATGTGGCGAAACCGGCCGAGCCACGTGTCCTTGGAGGGGGCTGCTTGCCCGCCTCTTGCCTTTGGACTATGGACCAGACTTTATGTGAATGTGTTAACCCAGATAGCTATGCCATGGAGCCCATTCGTGCAGTTAAAGACTTCAGCTCCATGGCAATTGAACTGTGTGAATAGGATCTGAGCGCTATTCAGTAGTTTTGTGCGCTCAGATCCCAGCTATCTGGGGATATGTGAAATGTCTGTGTGTTATGTGTAAAAGGTGTCTTTATGTATTTTAAAGTGTTTTATGTCTCTTTGCAACCATGTGCTTAATGGAGTCTTGTGTCTGTCCTGGGAGATAATTGAATTACTCTCAATTATCTCCAGGATAGAAGACTCTGAAACTGGTTTGGGCCAGAAAGCCATGCTTCATTTAGTCACAAAGGACTTTCCCTTAACTTTTGAACCCCTTGGTCTGATTCGTGCCATTTTTTTAATATGTTGTTCCCCTGACTGGATTGATTATGAAAATGTATGTTTTATGTTTGTGACATGTATATTTTAGAAGTTATAAATATTGTGTAAAAACTGTATTCCTCTGCCGATGATAATGAGATTACACATTGTGTTCAGTAATCATATCACATGCAGAGGGGAGGATTTTGTGTGGGAGTGTCTGGGTGTATTGTACGGATTGATTAGTTGTTTTGTAACGCCCTGTGGGCTGTACTATGTTTGTGGATTGGGAATAAAAGAGACTGTATGTGACAGTACAGGGAGTTCCTGTTTTAACCCTCAAAGTGAAGTGTCGTCTCATTATTGGGGGAAGGATTTATTGTATGCTGTTCCAGTTTGACTGCTAGGAGAGTAAACCTATTCGTATGGTTCCTATTCAACTGTCTACAGCATTCCTATGCTTGGGAGAATTTATTTGTTTCTCCGGTTCGGTGATTGTGGTGTCTGCCAGAGTGCTTGGAGTCCTCAGGAAGTGCTAGGAGCATCCTTCAACGGAGGTACCCAGTCGGGGTGCCAGGCGATCCGTTACACTTCCCTCTAGGGACAAATTTTTATATTTACGTATTGTATGAGTACTTAATAAACATGTCTTACCAATCATTAAGCCCAACTCAATGGAGGTCCATAACTGTATTCCTTGTTATAAAGCTGAGAAGTGTTTTCTCACGCTAAGACAGAATTGTTGTCTTTGTGCTAGTTTGCCTCACTTTTTATTATTATTATTTTTAAATAGCGCCAACAAATTCTGTAGCGCTTTACAATGGGTGGACTAACAAATATGTAATTGTAACCAGACATGTTTGACCCACAGGAACAGAGGGGTTGAGGGCCCTGCTCAATGAGTTTACATGATAGAGGGAGTGGGTTAAAGTGACACAAAAGGTAAGGATAGTATTAGGGAAGTAGCTTGGTAGAATAGTATTCACTGAACACAGTGTGTGTTTTTTGTTTTTTTTAAATTACAGTTGCAGGAGAACAGTTGGGAGCCATTAACAGTTTTGTGCAAAAGTGAGTTTTTAATGATTTTTTGAAAGAGTGGAGACTGGATGAGTGTCTAAGGGAAGGGAGTTCCACCGGAACGGTGCAGCTCTAGAGAAGGCGAACATCAGAGGTTGGAGTACGAACAGAGGATAGACGTAGGTCTTCAGCAGAGCGTAGGGGCCTAGACACGGCATACTTGTGTATTAGGGAGGATAGATAGATGGGAGTAGAATTATGTAGAGATTTGAAAGTAAGAATCAGAATTTTAAAATAAGTCCTTGTTAAAGTCGTGACTTAAATATTAATATTAATTTAATAATTAATATATAATAATTAAGCAACAAATAACAACATTAATAGAGTTCGGTATTATGGTCAAATATATAATTGGAAATACACAAAACATTGTAGTATTAAATGTATATTTAATATAATTATAACAATTAAACAAATGCTAGCAGAATGTCAATTTACCACAATAATTACACAATACAATACTACAACATTACTTACAAAAGGCTATAACAGTTGCTAGCTGTTATAATAGATTACTTACACGGCTCCAGCCTGTTTGGCTGGAGCTATACACACAGCTACATGTTCAATCAATGCAAGCAAAGGAAAAAGGAGGCTGAAAATCCTTCTACTATTTGGTTTTATCCAGTAAGTAGGCTGGCCTGTGATGTCACTGCCAGAAGCACATGAGTTAGCACACTGACCCCTAGTGGTGCCTCTAAAGCATTAAGCTCATTATGCTTTACTGACATCTAGTGGTGCGTCTAAAGCATTAAGCTCATTATGCTTTTTTATGACAAAAAGTCATTAATTAATAAATACCATTACAAACCACCCTTTGACTTATGTCACAAAACAAACATTATAAACCCGTACATCTTGAATCTACCCTATTTTAACAGTACCTGCCCTACAACAAAACCCACCTTTTTAAGAATTATACCCATTTACCCGTAAAGTTATGACACTTTATTGCTTATTCAATTATTATAATTTTTTTTTTTTCATTAAGCACATGCATCACCAGTTGGGAAACCTTAGCCTAAAATAAGCACATACCCACCCTTATAATAACCACTGAGCACATGCATTAGCAGTTGGGAAACCTTTGCCTTAAATAGGCAAATACCCACCCTTGTAATAATAGACAACTCAAACCATGTTTTATTAGATTAACCAATGATATTGTGTTCATGTGAGGATGTGTTTTGGAGCTTAATATAGTATTAGACACCACAAACTCATAACACCTATGAATCATGGCACAGACCGACTCGATTTCTGTAGCCTCTGGCTGGTCTGTGTGCCTGGAATTTTCACAAACATTAGTCCTGGAAACTGGATACTCTATTCTTCGACAGTCTCATAGAACATACGCATGGAGACAGGGATGAATGAAACAGTTCATGTGATCAAGGACTTTTGTGTGTTTGTGGTCACATTGTTTTGTTTTTTCTTTCTTTATACCATTAACCACCTTGACGTAACAGTGTCCTGCTCCTGATGCATTTGTTCCGACTCTCACCACTCTTAGCTGCAATATTTTTTCTCCTTACAGCAACAGTTGAGCATAGTGTCCAGTGCTCTTCAGCTTAAAATATCCTTGCTTGAAAGTTCTTGAATGAAAACACAGGCAATGACGAACACAAACATAAATAATAACTGTGCCAATCATCACAAGTACCATTTGATTGTGGTGTCTTAACCATATTTTTTCCTATGGCGTATGGATAAATACCTACACACCTCTCTTCACATCCAGCACACTCCTGATTCACAGATAAACACAATATCACTGCTGTATCTACCAATTTAACCCAAACACTCGTTATTACTGCTGCATTTACCAATTTAATCTAAACACTCGTTATCACTGCTGTATTTAACCAATTTAATCTAAACATTAACCAAAACAATTACATTCCTATTTACCACCCTTCTATTTAAACATGTATAGATAACCCAAAATGCCTACTTTCTCTTATCATTCTTATAATTTTTTTGTTTTTTTGAACTGCAACCACTCATGCACTTTACACAGACACAAATCAAGCACCTACTGGACAATGGGGTTCCCTCGTTAGAGCCCTCCCACCCCAGTTTGGTTTATACAAAAATACCCCCTGGTCACTATGGGTCAATTCCCCCCTTTCCCAGGCAAGCATACATACATACAACAATAATACATAAGGGTTTCAATTGCAATACAATCACTAGAAATAAGAGAATAGTATGCACAAAATCATAGCATAGACATGTTAAATAGACAATAAAATAAAACATTCAATAGCTCATCAAAGGTCAACATTTAAACACTGGTCTCCATCTGATATTCTATCTGTGTTCCAATGTCCACCTCTGGTTTCTGCTAGATCTGAAAAGGTTAGGAAACAGATCAGGATTACTTTCCTAGTCACTTATAGCGTATACTGCAAATATTTAACTTAGAATATATATATATATATATATATATATATATATATGTATACACACATATATACACACACACACAGACATGTAAACACATTCCTTCAGCTTTTCATTTTATAAACAATTTGTTCAACAAGGTAACTTTCTTAATTTTCTACTCGGCTCTTAAAATAAACAATCAGCTAATAGCTGCTTTCTGCATCTTCCTTGCAATTCAGGAGTACACAACACTAAAAGTCCAGTACTCAGCACACCCTAGCCTAAATTCCCCACCCGCTACTGTAACTAAGTTTACAGCCCACGTTATGGCAGTTCACCCGCTAGGCAGATATGCTCAGTACCCCCTAGCCTAAGTTCCCCACCCGCTACTGTAACTAAGTTTACAGCCCACGTTATGGCAGTTCACCCGCTAGGCAGATACACAATACACCCACGTATTACTTATTTTATATTTCCTGGTCTCTCAGGGATATACAATAGCTAATCCCCTTCCCAGGGCAATATAAAACTGACACAAACTTTTAAGCAATACAGGATTTCAAATGGACTTATGAGTAACAAATTTCTAGCCAACTTAAACATGTTTAATAACTTTCCACCCTTTGGTTAAATTATAGAGGAGTGAACCACAACACCTCTTCCGCCTCTGAAAGGATATAGGTCAATATGTCTCAAAGTTCAACACTTCTGACAGCTATGAGTGACTCCCTATTAATTTCTAGCCTTTCCACGGACATGCTTGCACCTCGCGGCTAAGGGCCTGCACAACTAACCACCCTGTGATGGCAGTGGCTTTCCGCATGGGGGTGACCGCCCCCGCAAAATTATAGAGGAGCAAACATACAGCAGCCTCTTTTCCGGCTCGATTAAAGGTTCTGGGCCAATATGTCTGCAATTTAACCAGTACACTCACGTATCACTTATTGTATATTTCCTGGTCTCTCAGGAATTTCTATTAAATAGTGTATCCCCTTCCCAGGGCAATATACAACAAAAACTAGTCACCAAGGTTCTCTATGGTCATGATAGGCCGCCCTACCACTAGTGTAATACGCCCTTTTTTTAAATATATTTCCTGGTCTCTCAGAGATTTTGCCTATCCCTTTCCCAGAGCAATATATATAAACAATTACAAATAAGTTGCAAAACGCTACTTATAAGTAATATAGGGTTTCAAATAATAATAATAATAATAATACAGGATAGAACTGCACAACAACTATTGGGTATGCTCCCCCTTATCCGGACACGTTTAAATACCCCCTAGCTCAGGTTCCCCACCCGCTACTGTAACTAAAATCACAGCCCACGTTATGGAGGTTCACCCGCTAGGCAGATACACCCTAATTCAAAGCATGGAAATATTAAAATCAGTTATAGATGGCTTCTAAAATAATATAAATCTTAATCTGAGCCCCTACACTTACTTTGTTAAAAATGCTAACTTGTTAAAATATTCAGACTAAATAGGACAAAGGAATTATTTTACCATTTTTTCAGTTCATTTGTTACCAGTTCCTGCATATGTCCAGTAATTCCTTAGTCCTGGATAATAAAGCTGAAAAACACTCCACAAATTGATTAGTTTAGGCAATTACATTTACAAAACAATGCAGTTTATTTTTTCTCATACAGCAAGACTACCCACCCCCAACAAGGACAAATTGTCCCCCAGCTGTAGCTGAAAAGCATGGTCACACAGCTGTTAAAAAGGTGGTCTCTCCTTCATGAGTCAAAATCATATATATATTTATACTAATATTCTGTGTATACGCACACAAATCTATTATTCACTGAATCTGCTTTACTAAACGTATCTTTTTCTTAACTACTAATTTAATACATTTTGTCCAAATCTCTTTTCAACTAGACAAATCCATGAATGCCAAACAAATGTAAATTAGTACAAAACAGGGTCAAATTTAGCAATAAAACCTGGTGAACTAGTTTAGTGAAAAGTCTTTTCCTATGCAAATGGTAGCAAACAATGAAACTAGGCCTCAACTCATTCACACCATGTGGTCAATGGTGGATTAAAATCCACATGGTCAGACAAAAGGTAAAGTATATATATATATATTTTTCTACATAAAAATGACCAAAGATTGGTAACAAGCAACACAATAATTCACTTCTATACAGACAGACAATTGACTCTATGTATTAAACAAAATGCATAACTTTTGTATTTTCCCTAATATTCCAGCATAATCCCATCTTCGTCGCCAAGTGTTACAGTCGTGACTTAAATATGAATATTAATTTAATAATTAATATATAATAATTAAGCAACAAATAACAACATTAATAGAGTTCGGTATTATGGTCGAATATATAATAGGAAATACACAAAACATTGTAGTATTAAATGTATATTTAATATAATTATAATAACAATTAAACAAATGCTAGCAGAATGTCAATTTACCACAATAATTACACAATACAAAACTACAACATTACTTACAAAAGGCTATAACAGTTGCTAGCTGTTATAATTACTTACACGGCTCCAGCCTGTTTGGCTGGAGCTATACACACAGCTACATGTTCAATCAATGCAAGCAAAGGAAAAAGGAGGCTAAAAAACCTTCTACTATTTGGTTTTATCCAGTAAGTAGGCTGGCCTGTGATGTCACTGCCAGAAGCACATGAGTTAGCACACTGACCCCTAGTTGTGCCTCTAAAGCATTAAGCTCATTATGCTTTACTGACATCTAGTGGGCGTCTAAAGCATTAAGCTCATTATGCTTTTTTATGACAAAAAGTCATTAATTAATAAATACCATTACAGTCCTATATCTAAGGACTATTGTAGAAAATACTCCAGGCACTCCAATAGGTTCCAAGATTTAATGCAATTTATTTGGTTCAAATAAATTGCCTTAAATCTTGGAACCTATTGGAGTGCCTGGAGTATTTTCTACAATTATCTCCTATTGGTCCTGACTGGGTACTGGGACTCTCCATGAAGCACCCTGGATTCCACAGTGTGGGGTAGAGTGCACTTCCAGTTCTGTTTGTGCTATATCTAGGGACTGACAGAGGGGTGAGGAGTGGGAGGTGTGGGCTAACAGGAAGATAAGCCACACCACTGCATTCATTATAGACTGTAACAGGGCAAGTTGGGAGTGCGTAAGACCACTGAGAAGTGGATTGCAGTAGTCAAGGCGAGAGAGGACAGTGGAATGGACCAGCACCTTCGCCGCATCTTGCGTTACGTAGGGGTGGACGAGCGCATGATGGAGCTGATGGTAGAGCCATTAAAGTTGAGGGAGACAGAAACAGGAGTAGCCACACTTAAAGGAGGAAAGACCAGAAATTCTGTTTTGGACAAGTTGAGCTTAAGGAAGTGGGCAGCCATCCAGTTAGAAATAGCAGAAAGAAAGTCAGAGACACTAGTCAAGAGGGGCGGGGAGAGATCAGGAGAAGACAGATAGATTTGCATGTCATCCACATAGAAATGATGTTGGAAACCAAAGGAGCTGATGAGTTTGCCGAGGGAGGCGGTATAGATCGAGAACAGTAGTGGACCAAGGAGAGGGGTTGGGGAAAGAGCCAGAGCCAGAGAAAGAAACACTAAAAGATCACTGGGAGAGGTCGGAGTAGCACCAGAAGAGCAATACCTTGTAGACTGTGATTACAGGCAATGAGAAGGAGCTGTTGATGATCAACAGTGTCAAAAGCAGCGTAAAGGTCAAGGAGAATTAGGATACAATAATGATCACAAGATTTTGCAGCGAGTATATCGCTGGATACTTTGGTCAGTGCCGTTTCCACAGAATGCTGAGCTCAGAAACCAGACTGAAGTCTTTCAAGGAGCTTGATGCAAAAGGCAGTTGCGAGATAGGGCGATAGTTGGACAGTGAGTTTGCATCAAGCTTGGGCTTTTTTAGAATCGAGATTACAGTTGCATGTTTGAAGGGTGATGGAAATATGCCAGAGGAAAGGGATTTTAGTGAGAGGCAGAGCAAGAGAAGGAGACAGAGTGTGGATGAGATGCGAGCGAATAGGATCAAGGGAGCAGGTGG